GCGGAACCCATAACAGCGAGAAACTGGTTACATGCACTCGTCATTAATTCAGCAGATAAGAGAGCAATTGGTTGGGGTGAACCAGCAGTCAGGTCAAAGGAGGAAGGTTGTTGTCGTACCTGCTGTAATTGATGTTATTTCAGAGAAGGAATTCAGAGCTGGCTCTTCACTGAAACTTGGCGATAAACGTCTCACGAGGAAGGGCCCGTGTTACTTCCTGCTGGGTGGGTAATATGAAAAACAGAGTCTGAGAACGGAGGTGCTCAGGTAGAGAATGTCTCTAAATTCAGGATGCGATCCCACAGCCCCTGCTCCTCCGAGAGCCGCGTCGAGCCGAGACAGGCTGCCTTGCAAGATGGTCAAAGTGTCTTCTGCTTCTGCAGCAGCACATGGAGAACGTGAGGTTCCTCAAACCTGCCTGGGCACGGCTGGTCCTGAAGGGACTGCAGTGCCTCTGTTCCACAGCTGCTGAGGCAGATATATCTGTCTCAGGATAACTGCCTGAACCCTGACATCCGTCTCATGGCCAGAGCAGAAGAACTTGTTGAAATTCCTGCTTTTTTGGTATCTAGGAAGAGATAATACACAAGTAAGATCTTCTCTGTGTGTTTCACCATGAAAAGGTGATTCTTAGAACTAACACTGCTGAGACTTTGAAGGCTTTCCAGTTGAGGTATTTATTACGGCTTCTGAACCATGGCCAGAGGCAGCGCTGAACTGGATGTGCAGGATAGACCCCCCCAACCAGCCCCCCAACACGACCCCTTGCACTGATGGCTCCGCAGCACCTTCTGCCCATCTTCCTCCATCCAGTCCATGGGGCTGAGATGCTGGGGACCCACGGCAGTGCTGCTGTGGGATCCCTCGAGTACTGAGCCAGGAACCAGCGTGGAGGACTGGATCCTGTGCTTGGTTGTCTTTGTGCACCTTCACACCCCACCGACGCGTGTTGGATCTAAGTGGAGAACGGCTGAGTAAGCCATCTACACCGACAGAGCTGGAGGTGCAGGATCGTCTCCATCAGAGGTCACAGACCAACACCAGACAGCCACTGAGGTGAGCGCAAGCCCTCACACAGGTGGTGGGTTATCAGCCGAGCTCCATCGGCAGTGAGGTGCCAGCAACCGTGGAAATGGAGCCGGGGAAACCAGTGATCTGATAAACCCACTGGTCCCTGCCCAAAGATGCAGCTGCGACAGAGCTCTCCCTCCCTCAGCCCCGGCCATGTCACTGCCGTGCATAAAGTGGAGATGTAAGTCTTGAGGCCATCAGACACTTTCCCAGTTGGGGCACAAAGGAAGAATTTGAGTCCCAACTGGAAGTTAATCCCATTAATTCTTGTTCTGACTCAAGAAGCTCAATTTCCACACCACTGCTTTTTCCCCCAAGATCTTTTACACGAACAATTTTGTTCACTAGGTAGATAAATTCTCTAGTGTCGTTCCCCACCAGACAACTTCAAGTGCGCCCTGAATTACAACGAGGGGGACATGCAGCAAAAGACAACTTCAACAGAGTTATTCTCTGCTTTGGTTAAGTGCTCGGTTGCTGTCCCCCGCCTCGCTCTGTCCTGACTTATTCTGAGCCTCAGCCCAGAGCTGCTCCGTAAATTCAGTATTACAGCTGGCGTGAAGGCCGGGACTCCCAGATGGCTCTAAGACCGTTAGAGGTTGTCCGTCCGGCTCTTGGCTGGGCGTCGCAACTCAGCTATCAGGTATGTAAATCCGAGCTGCGTTTTGTGGAGCAGCTGAAGATCTGGCTCAGGATTTTGAAATATGCTGTTTCTTTGTTGTTCTCCTTATTTCCCCCAAAAAGCGACAAACCAGATTGTCAGGTCATTTTGTAGTAACAACCCCAGGCCCTTGATGTTATAGGGAGGAGTACCGGGAGGAATGCAGCAAGGTGAGTATGACATAGAATCACTGCGGGTTGTGTTTTTAGATGTTGTGCCCTCAACGGTGACAAGATCAAAGGGTTTTGCTTTGACCGATCACCACACAATTAAGCGGGACTTTGCTTCTGCCTTTTCCTCCACCTCATGCCCCATCCCGAGCTATAGGCAGCCTTTGACTTGAGTATTTCAGGAGCAAAAGAGGAGAGGGCTCTGTTCCCAGTGTTTCTTTAAGTTGGAGGTGGTCAAGGGACATTCATGACTCTGCCCGTGTCTCAGGGCTTCTGCTGGGCTGGTTGCACTCAAGAGGTGGTTGTGATGCCGCCCTTCCTCTCTGAACCACTCTACCCACTCTAGTATCAGGTCCACCCACTATACCAACATGCATCCTCGAAGATGTCGTTGACTCAGTTCCTGTTCCTATGGCACAGCTCTATTCTCAGAAGGGTGAGCTGTTTTTTTCCTGCGACTGGAAAATACACCACCTCTTTATTTTCCATTCTTTTTTTTTTTTTCTTTCCATTGACACGGATGTCTGGACTCCACAAAGGGCAAAATCAAGGTGGGACAGCCCTTCTTCCTGGGTTGTTTCCAGTCCCAGTGGGATTGAAGTGTTGGCTATGTCACAAAGAGGCCCATTCATGCGATTATTTTGTCTCCCAAGGTGACCTTTCGGGCCTACAGGCCTCCGAGTCATTGACAATGCAACCAAAATTGGCCTTTCTCAGAAGTCTCTGATTCTCCCCAGTCCCTTCAGATTCCTCCTGCGATGGAGGTCTGAGGACCCCAAGTCCCCTTCTGTCCCCCTCATCTGGAACACCTCAATGGAGCAATTCCTTCCCACTAAGCAGGACAGGAGAGGATCAGCACCAGAAGGGCTCAACGAGTGTCTCCTGTAAGGAGGGCCGGGCAGCCATTTTTGACCAAAATCTACATTTTTAAAGTGAGTAAAATATTTGATAAATTCTTGTCAAGATGTCAAAACAGATTTGATCTGTGATATGCTGAAAAAAATTCAAACGTTTGTCTCAACAGTTTCGTACTGACGTATTTTGGATTTGCCACCTAAAAGAGCGGCTTTTCCTCTCTCTCTCCACTTGTCTTTAAAACTGTTTTTCTTCACCTTGAACGCTGGGAAAACTCTGGAAATGTTAGAAATTTTTTCGCCTTGATTAAACTGAGATATCCCATTTAAATCTCCTCCTCCCTAAACTATTTCTCTCCAGTTTCCCTGCACGCGGGAGAGCTGCAGGTGGGGTAAAATAAGGACTGAACTGAACTGAATTCCCTCCCTGCCCCGCATCTCGCTCAGCAAAGCGAGAAATGGTTTCCCCGTGTGTCCTGGTAACGCGATCAAAACTTTCTGTAAGAAACAAGCACGATTGGGAAACGGTGAAGGAGGAAAAAGGGACCCGGGTGAGGCATCTTGTGAAGAATCCAGGTTTTTTTCAACCCCTTTTAACTTGTGGCACACTAAAAGGGATCATTATTGGCAGCGCAGAGCAGCAGCATCCCTGGGATATTTAAGCCAGGGCTGTTTTCCCACAGCGAAAGGCTTTGGGATGCTCCAGCGCCTCTCTGCATTAACGCCTCTTGCCACACTCCCTCAGATTTCAGTGTTTGTGAGGATTTTTTACTGAGCTAAGGAAAAGGGTGAAATTCAGCCCCGGTGTTTATGAGCTCATTAGGACTCCTCAGCAAAGGAGCTGGCACCAGGGGGTTGATGTTAAGAGCTATCTTCTCTTTTCCTCCTCTTCCCCACCCTGGAAAGTGATGCAATGTGATTCCCTCGGAAGATCCTTTGTGCGGGGCCAGGAACGCTGACATGCCGAAATCCATAACCCTTTGACCCGCGATGTTTTTTCCAGCTACTTGCCGCAGATGATAGCGCAGTCCTGTGTGACATGTGACTGTTTATTGAAAATATTTTATTGCTCTCTAGAAGTCAGGTTTAATAAACTCCAAAGAGATACAGTAAGTAGACCAGCAAAATTATTTAACAAACTCAATTATCTGGCGTTTTCTTTCTCTGCAGGAAGAGAGCCAGTTCCATAAGAACAAGCTGAGAAGACCTGGTTTTGCCGGAGTTCGTAGAGATCGAGCTCCTCTGACTGCACAGCATTTACGCTTAAGTTCCAGCAGAACTTCAGGTGAAACCAATGAATCGACTCATTGGTTTCAGCTGGAGTTTGATCAGCACCTTGCACCTGAGTCAGGTAAGAATAAGATCAACAGTTTTGAGAGGCCAAACAAGCCACTAACTGCACAGCCGTGCAGTCTTCGCCGGGGAAAACTCTCCACGTTGGTTTGAAACTTCTTTTCACCTCCTCCCGGTCAGCAGCTACCGCTCTGCACCCAATCTGCACTCTGGAGGAAATGTGCTGTGAGATGTGCACGGTGATGCTCTAAGGCGAGAGCATCCTTAAATGCCCCACGGATGATTCTCCTGAAATTCATACTCTGCGTAAGATAACAGGGGAAGGGAGGGTCTTCCATAACGCTCCAGCACTTCTGAGGAGATATTGGTAACTCCGCCCTCGCACTGCCTGTGAAATACAGAAATTGGCACCTTGGAAAATGGCATTTCTTTTTAGTGTTGGGTCCTGTGACCTCCGTTTTGAGAAGACGTGTCAGAAGACAGCCCCGGCTCCCGAGGACGTGCCATTTTGGACAGTCCACTGCATTCACCAGCACCGTACCGGAATACATCTTCCCTTCTTCCCTCTCCCACTTCAAGTTTCACGCAGTGTTTTTCCCCCCAGTACGTAATTATGAAACACTTCATGTTACTCTGTGCCCCAAACCGAAGGTATTAACTCCCAGTGAGAGGAAAACATCTGCGTTACTCTGGGGCCAGTCTGTCACCGATATAACGCTCTCTTTGGCCATGTCTGATCTTCAGTGAAAGCTGGCAGTCTCCGTAAGTGAAAATTTTACTTCTGGGTGCCCGTGGTTCATAAGCCAGCTCTGCACCGGGATTTTTTAGCAGTAAGATGAATAAGACACCCCTGCACCCGGGAAACCTCTCCCATTCCCCAATTTGACCCATACGTCATTTTCCAGCAAACAATTTCCTAGCGAGCACGTAACTGCTTGACCTGCACGGGAGTCAGAGGCGAGTGTAATTCTTGCAGCCATCATCAGAGGACGGCGTCGGCGCCGTCTCTTCCGAGGCAGCCATGCCCACCCCGTTGTGCACAGCGTGGCTGTGATTCAGATGTCCTTCCTGGCCTTTTGTGGTGCAAGTGCCACTGTTAGGAACCAACGTCTGTTTCTTCTGCACCTGCTCCAGTATCTGCAGCACCTGGAATTAGTAAGCGCAGCCGTGAGTGGGTTAGTAATTAGGGGAAAGCACTAATTTCTTCTCCAGCTATTGAACTAATACTCTATTCTCTTTCAAGCTCCGTGTCTGGGCTCAGCCTTGGGATTACATGAAGCATTTCTGTCTGCTCCGAGGTCTCTGGGACAGGAGTAAATGGAGAGCCAGCCCCGTGAGGTCCATGACTGTGGATCTCAGAGCTCTTTCTGCTGATGAACCAGTCTCACCTTGCACCTTCCCCATCAACGCACTTGGCACAAGGAGGTGCAGGGGTGGTCCGGAGGCCGGATCAGGACACAGGCAACATGGAGCTCTGTTCTGCTGCTCTTTCTCACCACCCTGTGATAACTCCTCGTGCTATCACAGATTTTTTCACCTCCTTGTAGAACTAGGAAACCCCCAGTCTGAAACTCACTTAATGGAGATGGGGAACAGGAGAAGAAATAAAATCAAGATTAATTTTACCTGAGACTTGGGGATGATACCGACTCTGAAAAATCCTATGTTTCCACTGTTGATTTTGGTGCAGTCTACCACGGTGGAGGCAATGTTCTCTGGAGAAGGCCCATCACAAAGAACTGCATCCACCTGAAGAGCAACAGATGTTGATACCAAGTTCCGCCCAGGCACTTGGGAAAAGAGAGGGCAGTTTGCCCGTCTCACCAGCAGGTAATTATCATCAAGGGCAACTCTGCTCCTTCCTACACCACTGTACTGACACTGAGGATTGAACTTGGAATGAATGAACTTAATAAAAGCAAAGAGAGAACAAGTTCTATGGAGTGGAGGTCAGCAGTACAGCAAGAACAGGTTTACATCAGCTGAGGAGCTTTGAAGAAGTCCCATCCACACAGCAAATGTGTTGAAAACCAGATTTTTGAGGAGTTAGGGTGGAAGATTTGTACCACATTTTATTTAAAACTGCCCTCAGATAAGCTGCCATGAGTACGCAAAATGTAGTACTCTCAGGATTAAGCAGTGAAATGAAAGACAGCCATTTGAATGGCCACGACTATTGTACTTCCAGAATTCATGAAAGTTCTAAAAGCCAGGAGTATTTTAAAGCTTTGGCACTGGTTTCAGACCAGCTTCAGCTTTAGATGGGAATCCCCTGTGTTCTGACAGCTCAACGCCAGCTGGAGCCCTGGCGCATTCAGGCATCAGTGGTTTTATTGCCTGTAAGCAAAGAAGCATTTTTTTGTTGCTCATTCTGTGTTGGAAGATGAACAAACTCATGTTGCCAAGCCATAGCTATACTGTATAAAACAGAAGCATTTTGGTTTCCCACCAAGTTCTGTATTTTACACTGTTCTTTCACTCTGATGCCAACACGAGGAGTGTGTGTGAGATTTTTTTAATGAGATGCTCTCCCAGATTCTTGATATCATCTATTGATTTGCCCACTGGAAACGAAGTTGTTGCATTCTTCCATCCCCACATCTTCTGGGACCAGTCGGATGAAAAGACAGAGAGCCCCAATTACCTTATCTCCCAGCTTGGCATACACTTGGTTGTGGTGTGTTGTGTCTGCCTCTCCCGTTGGGTTGGCTGACGTGACCACAATGGGGCCAACCTGGTGACAGAAAAAAGGGAATAAAAGCTCTGATCAGATTTTGCTGTATAAAACAGAGGACTCCAGCTCTGAAGTTCACTCGTGAGTCTCTGTCGCTCTAAAGAGAACTCACTGTGACTCACCCAGGTAGAGACACCTACTTTGTAGGCAACTACAGTCCCACCAAACCTGTGCACAAGTGACTAACACGCTGCTGAACTGGGGTTTACTGATGTTGATCAGGAAAGAACATTTTGTTTTCCGGCAACAGCAATTGCCAAAGACCTACAATGCCTGTCCTAGCAATGACCAGAACATGCAGAGTATCACAGTTCCTCTGGCCACATTCTGGACCTTCTGAGGTTATTCTGGCTTCAGATAAGCCCCTGCTTGCAATGAAAGTGTTCTACGTAGGAAATGAGACAAAGTGTCTGTTAACTGAATCTCTTCTGGCTTTCTGACCTGGTGGTTATTCCTTTTACCCTCTTTTCTGCAATAAAATCATCCGCCAGCTGCCTGCATACCCCACGCCTTCTTAATGATATTTTTCTTGTGGGAGTTGCTCATTTTGGCACTTTTCACTCCCCGAACCTGTCTGAACGTGCTAGGATCCTCACTTCAATGAGAAAAGAAAACAGAGAGGAGAGATGACATGCCAAGAGGGCTGACAGAGTGCTCCAGCCTCTCACTGTCCTTCTCTTCTCCAGCAGGCCAGAGGACCTGGGGGCTGGTGACCGACGCCAAACCTGCTCCCTGGACAGTGGAACGGCGAGGTCTGTTCAGCAGTGCTGCTGGGATGAGTGTGCTCTGGCCACTCACCAAGTCGATGAGGTGCGTGGTGACAGAGCAGTCGGGGATGCGGATGGCGATGCTCTGAGGGGTACCGACGTATTTAGCAGAGTCCTTCATTCCCAGGAAGTCCACCCATTCACCTGCACAAGGGAGAGTCACACGGCACTTAAGGATGTACATCAGTTTGAACACAATGATCTCACCAGAAATATCGCGTGATGTGGCGTTGCAGGGATGCCTGACTTAAAGTTGGAGTTTCAAAGCCAAAGCTCTGCAGAGAGCTTGGAAGAAACAGGATTTTCTCACCTCTGGGAACCACCAAGCTGATCGGAGATGGCCAGGCAGCCTCCATGAAGTCCCAGAGGAGGGGAGTGAACAAATGCTTTGCAGGTTCCAGTTGCTTTAAGCTCGAAATCCAGAGTGACATGGGGCGATCCTGAGCCTGGCGCTTGGACCTGGAAAGGAGGCAAGAAAAATGAGCCTGGAAGTAAGATGGGGATTTATTTTCAAGCTGAAAAGGGAATTGTGTTGGTGAGGACCAGAGTTAAGACAAGGCGTGTAGGCTCTGCCCCAGTTCACCGGTCTGTAGTAAAGTAGGACTGTTCAACAGATGACCTGACGGGAAGGGACGTTAATGACTATTCCCAATCGGGAATGTCTACTCCAAATCAAAGTTTTAGCTTCTTGTGTAGTGATGGGTAGAAGTCCCAATTGCCCAAGTTCTGAGGAAACCCCACCAATATGAGGGGTCCCAGCTGCTTACAAAAGTGCAGCTAGAGGCACTTGTTAAACACCAGAGGGGTTATGGTTGTGCAAATATGTCCCTACAACAAACCCCTGCCCCATTTGTCACTTCTTTGGGTTTCCCTTTGATATCCAAGCCACCTGACTCCATCGCCTGCCAGGAGCCTTCAATATCCAGAAGACAATCCCAGCTCAACTCTCTCCTCTCCTCTCCTCATTCAGGTCTTCTCCCCGAGGTTCATCACCTTGTTGTTCCCATGAAGGTTAAGCTCTGTGTCTCATTGCTCTGGACAGTTGCTGTAGCCAGTACCGAGCAGCAGCCGTAAGGCCTAGAGGCTTCTTTAGACTAGCCAAGGAAGCCCTCACTGGGGCAGCAAGACAAATACTTACTGGTGAGCCTTCTCCACAGCATCAGGCCGATTACAGGCTGCCACAAGCACATACACAGTATCTGTGGGGATGCCGCAAGTCCCTCCATTCTTCAGGATATCTGTTGGCATGTGAACAGGGCAGAACCCCTTGAGTGACTAGAAGTGAGGGGTTGTAATTCACGGAAGAGCTGTCACAGACAAAACAGCCAATTCGGTGCGCTCATCTCCTTTTCCCAACTAACAAAGCATTTTCTCTGACAGTGCATTTTCTAGCATTCATCCAAGAGGAGATCTGGCATTTAGGGGAGTTCTGGGCCACGTTCATCAGGGCCAGAAGTCATTCAGCCCTGTGGAGAGAGCAAGCACCATGCATTTGCCCTGCTTTCGCTGTACAAAGCTTCCGGTGGTAGCCCCAGCCTGGAGGATTGGCGTATCTCAGACTGGATGAGCAGACAGGGATACAATACAGGAGAGACAGCAGCAAATTCACTGCTAAATCCAGCTCCTATCAAGGAATTGGTCCTATCGCCCCCATTTAGCTTCTAATGACTCTTGTAACTTGGCCCACTTCGTCAAAATGTCATCAGACTAACATGGTTTCCACATCTGGATTGGAAAAATGTTCTTTTAATAATGTTCTGCTACAAAACCTCCCAGAATTTACCCTCCGCCCCCACATCACACCCTGTGTATTTCCCTTACCTGCGATTCTCTTGACTGAGGAAGCTTTCCTGGCAGGCAGGTGAAGGCACTTGGTCATTCCTCCCCCCACACCACTAAGCTTCACAATGGGCCTACCCATTGGTAAGCAGGAACCCTCAAAGACGCTGCTGAAAAGGGCAGACAGGAAGCAGTAAAAGCTGACCAGACCAAAGATGATAGTGGCAGCAATGTCGTAGCCAGCTGGAAGAGCATGGATGGCATCCAGCAAGAAGCTGACAGCGATGAGTAAGAAAGTGAGGGAGTAAAAGAACCAGGCGATGTTTAAGAAGAGCGTGCAGAAGACAATGAAGCCATTGAAGAGCATGAAGGAAATGATGCCTACTGCTGCGTGGAAGCTTCTGGTGGTGCCATAGAGGCCACCATACCTTGTCAAGCCCCAGATGATCCACATGACAGCATAGAGAATGAAGGCACTGCTCTCCAGGGTTTTACCCCGGGCAAAGGCCACTGAGCCGCCTAGAAGCTTAAGGATCCCACCAGCTACCACTACCCACGGAATTACAACAGTAGCAAGTGGGGCCTGGGGGTCCCCTGTCATTGTTATAGCAAAAGAAGCGAGGACACTGCATGCATAGCCAAGTACTTCTGCATCTGCGTACTTGGAATACCCTAGGTAGGGAGCATGAAGGTCTGCGCCCTCACGAAGCTTCAGAAAACTGCTGCGAGCAAGTAGGGCCTTCACAGCATCCTTCCCTGTCGGGATCTTGGCACTTGCTTTCACATTGTACAGGTGAATTAGAGTCATCAAGGCTGAGGCCACAAAGATGGCCACATCCACACCTTGGGGTCCACCTTCAAAAAACCCCTTGGGACGACAAGCTAATGCAATGCAGTAGGCCACATAAAACAGCAAATACAGGCTGTCCACTGGGCTCTTAAGAGCGAGAAAAAGAGCCAAGACAAC